GGGCTGTGAACCGTAAGGTCAGCAGTTCGAAACTACCAGCGGTTCCACGGGAGAAAGATGAGGCGTTCTGCTCCTGTAAAGATTAACAGCCTTGGAAACCCTGTGCAGGGTCGCTATGAGTCGGAACCGACGCCACGGCACATAACAACAACAATCAATCCCTGGTTGTTGTTAAGTGCCATTGAGTCGGTTCCAACCCATAGTGACCCTGTAGAGGGTTTCCAAGGAGTGGCTGGTGAGTTTGAACCACCAACCTGGCAGTTCAAACCAACTTTGCAGCCTAGTGCATTAACCCACAGAGCCACACCAGGACTCCAATCCCTGGTTAGGCACCCAGAATTCAATCCCTCCCTGGAGGGTGGTGGAATGGGAGCATCAGGGATACAGCGTGGTGGCGATGCTCTTGAGCTTAGCTGGCCCTTTGCCCTGCCCAGAACTGCATCCTGACTCCTAAGGGAGACTGCAGCGTTAGCTGTGCCTCTCAGTCCATCTCGCACCGTTCTTCGAGCCTCACACCCATCAGAAGCACTTGTGGACCCGCTGCACCTCACAGAGGATGAGCAGCGCTGAGGCACCCAGCCCTTCTACGGAGCTCTCCCAGCGGCACCCAGGGCCTGGTGCTAGGTCTGCCAGGTGGCCCTCCTGAGGCTGGGCAGGTGGAGGGCAGAACCATGTGTGCCTGTACCCCTGGCCCAGCATCACCTGCTTAGGAGCACCCCTCACTTTCCACTCCCACTAGAGCTTCCTGAGAACCCCCCAAAAACTTTGCTATGAGCTCTTGTCTTGAGGGTTATTTGGTGGAGTCTGGTCTGTGCTGTGGGGTCCCACCTACTCAGGGGAGATGCAGTTTGCTACAAATAGCTACCTGTGTTCTGGAGACCTCCCCCACCTCTGTATGGCCCAAAGAGGTCCAGCCTTGAGGGCCTCTGCTCTCCTCTCATCCAGCAACCCCGGCAGGAGGAGGGCCTGTGAGTCATTGCCCTGCCCCATTGCTGCATCTTCCTGAGAGCCTGAGGGGGTCAGCTCCTGCTCCCCATCCCCCAGCCCCCAAGGCCATTTCTCCCACTTTAACCATTTTTACTGAGACACTCCTCTAGGGACCCTGAGGCAGGCCGTTTGACTGAGCCCACCTTGGGACCACTTATGTGACACTACAGCGGGACTAGGCCGTTGCAGGCCCATTGAGTGTGCATCCAAACCCGCCCATTAACCTGGGAGTGGGGCCTAGAAGCTGAGGGAGAGGCCCAAGGTGATGGCAATGTAGTGTCATGGGCCCAGGAGGATCTACACAGGGGTGCTGAGAGGGACCCCACCTGCCATGGATGTGTGCACCTGGAAGGGCAGATGTGGTGGCCCCTGCCAGCCTTGGTGGAGATGCTGGTCCAGAGAGAAGACAGGGCTGGCAGGAGACCAGAGCTAAGTCCATATAAGCATCCACAAATAGTGTCCATCCCATCTCCCCATACCTGCTGCCTCCTGGTGGCTCCTGAGCTGTGCTTGATGCCCTCCTTGTGCCCAGGTGGTCTCTGGGTCTGCAGCCCCCCATCTATAAGGAGGGAACTCTCAGGGAGGTGCCTCCTAAAGAGAGGCCCCAGCACCCCAGAGGTACGGCTTCAGTCTTGTGTGTGGAAAGGGGAACATGCGCCTCAGGAGCCCAGCAGTGAGTGGATGAGAGGTCCCACCCTGTGAACCTCCAGGGCTGAGGGGATGAGGGATGCCCCCACAGAAAGCCTTCCTACCTGCTCGCTGTCCTGGAAGAGGACCGGTTGGTACTGGGGTGGAGGGGGTGCGAGCAGAATGTCAGTGAACACTGTACAGCCTTGCTCCACCCGCCGGCAGAACTGGGAACCCAGAAGGTCCTGCCCCCCACCTGAGGAAAAGGGGTATCCAGGAAAGTAAACAGGTGAGCTCCAAGAAGCATAAAATCAACACTTAAGCATCTTTTAGGAGACTGTTAACCATGAGCACCTCTCTGAAATCAAGGTTGGTGCCTGATGGGTGGCCGGGGCCCAGGGTTATAATTGCATTGCGAGATTGATCTGAGGTCATGCCAAGATGTCCCTAAACACACCCAGGACCCACTCTGCTGTAAACACTGTGAACCCTCCCGACAACCTCTATCCCGAGAGCCCCACTTCTAGCACCACTGTACCCCTCTATGTGGAGTTGCCAGAACCCTGGTCTCAGGATGCAGGGGCTGGCGCCCTGTTGCTGGGAGGCTGGGGTAAATGAATTGGGGGAGAGGGTACTGACTCTGGGTTGGCTTCAATGATACATTAGAAGGAGTCAGCCTCACCTGGGGACAGGACTGACCTAGGATTGTGGGGAGGGCAGGAGGAAGCAGGGCGGTCACATGGATCCAAGAAAGCTGGCTTGGTTTGGAGGGGAGGGGAGGAAGACGTCTGTGCCCTCTGGTTGCCCCTCAGTGGGGTGCTTCAAGAATATAAGGATGATGTCTGTCATGTGTGCATGGGATGGAGCCCTGGAATCTGAGGCATGAGACGCCCCTACTCCTGCCCCACTGAATCCTAGCTTCTTCAGGGGGTGATGGGGACATGGGAGAATGGGCCACAGAAGTCTGTTCAAATTGCAGGCAGGAGAATGATTTCTCTCGGAGGTATCTTAATTTCACCATTATGGCACGTTATACAAGGTAAAGTCTGTCCGTTTGCAAGGACATTCTTGAGCTAATGTCCCCTCTCCATTCGGTTTTGCCGTCCTCGCACTATTTGTGTCCTGGGCAATGACTGGGAACCATATTGCTGACGGTATAATTTCCATTTCTTAACGCACTGGCGGGTTCCACGTGACCTCAGCAGGAGCTAAGTTTGAATACCTCTTTTATTGACATCTCCTGGACAGGAATGACATCAGCTCTGTTTCCTAATAACCTAGAGATCAGCAGCCTCTGCCAAGGTGACCGCCCAGAGTGGGCCCAAGACCAGGGAGCGACAAGAATGCCTGGCTCATGTAACAGCAGTCACTTCAGACTTAACCCACAACACGCCTTTGGCAGGGGGCTGGAGGGTTGGGTACTGAGAAATACATTGAAAAGCACAGCAAGCATTTCTGGTGTGCAAATAAAAGCATGTGTGAGCCAGGACTTTAACAACCTGCAATATGCACATGATACAACCTTACTTACTGAAAGTGAAGAGGATTTAAAATATTTACTGATGAAGATCAAAGACCACAGCCTTCGGTATGGGTTGCACCTCAATGTAAAGAAAACAAAAATCCTTACCACGGGAGCAATAAATAACATCATGGTAAATGGAGAAAAGATCGAAGTTGTCAAAGACTTCATTTTGTTGGATCTACTATCAACTCTCAGGGAAGCAGCAGTCAAGAAATCAAATGATGTATCACATTAGGCAAATCTGCTGCACAAGTCCTCTTGAAAGTGTTGAGGAGCAAATACATCAGCTTGAGGACTAAGGTGTGCCTGACCCAAGCCATGGTATTTTCAATAACCTCATCTGCATGTGAAAGCTGGACAGTGAGTAAGGAAGACCGTAGAAGAATTGATGCCTTGGAGTTATGGTGTTGGAGGAGAATATCGAAGGTGCCATGGGCTGCCAACAGAGCTCCTTACAAGTCATAGAGCGCTTCAGAAGTGAGAATGGTGAGGCTTTGTCTCTTGTACTTTGGACATCCCGGAGAAGGACATCGTGTTTGGAAAAGTGGAGGGTAAGTGTAAAAGAGGAAGACCCCAACAAGATGAACTGGCACAGTGGTAGCGAGGGGCTCAAACAACAATTGTGAGGATGGCACAGGACTGGCAGCATTTCTGTTGTGCACACAGTTGCTATGAGTCGTAACTGACTGGGTGGCACCTAACAACAACGACCATGTCAATGATCTCCTTGTTCATAGCCCCAGGGTGTTCCTTGATTCCTCAGACGTCATCTGTCTTCCCATGTGTGTGTGTGCCTGTGTGTGTGTGTGTGTTCATGTGCTCTTTTTATACTCAGAAGGAATGAAGTTGAGGACCCATCCTTTTACTGCTACTGGTATAACTTTGTTAATAAAATTAAAGATCTCTAATTCCAAACAGGGTCAGATCTACAGATACCAAAACCAAACCCACCACTGTTGAGTTGATTCTGAACAGGAACTCCACACACGTTTTTGGAGAACACCATTCAATTCTTAACACCAGGGATGTTGTTGTTGTTGTTGTTGTCAGATGCCATCAAGTCGGAACCGACTCATAGCGACCCCATGCACAGCAGAACGAAACAATGTCCGATCCTGGGCCAACAGCACTACTGTTGCCACACTTGAGTCCATCGATGCTGCCACCTGGCCAATCCATCTCTTTGGGGGTCTTCCTCTTTTTCTCCGACCCTCCACCTTAC